ATGCCCCTGCATGTATGCTCTGGCACACAACAAGTTGCCCCAGGTTGGGTAGAAGAGGTTGGGGCCAGCACCTGGGCTGGGGTCCTGTGGCCTCCCAGGGCTCCAGCAGTGGTGATCTGGACACACAGAGCCTGGCTGGTAGCTAGAGCGTGGCTTTGGCCATTCAGGTGCCAGTTTCAGGTGTCACACACTACTGCCACATGCACCACCCCACTTTTTTCTGGTGTGGGTTTTTTTGACACCAGGATCTCCTGGGAGTCATCCTCCTGTGCTGATCAACACAGAACTACATCACAATTATTCAACAGTGGTACAACCTTCTGTATAAGATCTTGGCTACACCTCCAAGTGTGTGCAGGGTACAGAGGGCAAGGACAAGTTAGGGATAGACTTTTCTCTTTCTAACAGATTAAAAACCCCAAATCCTTTTATTACTTACTACAAGGAGAAAGGTAGTCATAGCAATGTCCAGGTTGTTATGTATCAAAAAATATGCTTTGGTGGTTCTGCAATGAAATCTTCAGATTTAATACCACCATTGTCCCAGATACTAGCTGGCATTTTAAGACCAGAGCTAAAGTAATGGCATTGTGCACCTCCAGGAACAATGGCTGAAGAACTGCTCTTATCTCCAGAGATTACTTCTTTACCTCAAGGCTCTACAATAGCTGCCAGCCAGCATCGCATGTATAATATACTTCACTCACACACATAATGGATAATTTGTGGATAATTTGCTTAACTGAACTACACAGTGCCCATCGCAATTTGCTGCCTATTTCTTACATTGCAAACTCCAATTATCTGACTATCATCTAAATGCATAAAACCATTTAAATGCATTTCATCTTTTAGTTCCACAGCCTACTCCGTAACTTAATTTTCCTTTGGTTAATTACAGAACAGCTTTGTCTACTCTGTCACTAGTAATGTTCCTATTAAATGGGCCAGGAACAGTGAAGCTGGAGACCCATGTGCTGGGGCAGGAGCTGCCCAGCTGCAGCTTCTCCCCAGCCTGGAGTGGCACAGCAGGAGCAGGGGGAGGAGGAGCTGCTGAAAGCAGAGGGAGCTGAGCACTACCTGGGCAGCTGCATCAGCAGCAAGAGCAGCCCTGCCAGGAAGCTGTGCGGTCTGGCCAGGGCTGGGGCCATGCTGTTGGTGGGCACTGCGTGGAAGCAGGGGCTGCCGAGGGCAGGAGCAGGTGTGGCTTGGCTCCATGCAGAGTGCCACGGGGGCAGCTATGGGCTAGACTGGGGGAGGGGTTAGGGGGCAAAACACACCCACACCACACCTCTTGCCCCCTCCCATCCCACAGCCTGCTCCTGGGACCTAGCAAGCAGCCAACCTGTCGTCATGTGCCCCCACCCCCACCTCCCCAATAATTTGAACTATCATGTAATCACTTATATATACAGTACTCAAATATTTTATATATGCAGCCCTCGACAGCTCACCAAAACTCATTTAGTGGCCCACCAACCAAAATAACTGCCCGTCCCTGGTTTACCTCCTGGGAGAGTGGCCAAGCAGGGAGGCAGGGCAGTGGCCAGGCAGGAAAAAACCTGAGCCTGCACTTCTCTGTTTATCTCCTCACACCTCAGGGCACCCTTCAAAGGATTTTACAGCAGGAGTGCCCTGGCCCTGACTAAGAATCACTGACTTAAGCAGTCTTGTTTACATTAAGTTTGGGTCAGTACATAGGTTTCCTCCTTCTCCCTCAGTCCTTTAATAAGAACAAGTTCTGACACTGTAAAGAAAAAAAACTCAAGTGGAACTTAAAGTTATGTACAAAATGAGATTACTTAATTGTTCCTCTTACTGAAAGTCACGCTTGGCAGAAGTGAAATAATAACATGTAAGACAAGGTATTTGCAGGTATTACCTCTTTCTAAACTATGTCATGATGCAGCTATATCAGTCATTTCATCTGAGTAAATTAGGGCTTTGTAAATAATTATACTTTTGGTTCAGGGGCCATGTATTTTAGGGCACCCCAAAACATTTAATTTCACCTGAAATAATTTTTTTCAGATCATTTATGTTCTTTTATAAATTCAGAACAAGTTAGAAGCAGAAGATGTTGATTTGGAATTAAAAATGGAAACATCTCGTTTAAAAAGGCATCAAAAAGAAGGTTCCAGCTTTTCCTTAATTTTTTCCTTCATCTTTTCCACGCAACTTTTCCCAAATTCAAATTTACAAATAGTTTCTAAACTACTGTTTTCAGCAAATTTACTATTTCCCTCCAGTCTGCTCCCAGTAGTCCCAAACGCAGCGTCAAAGCCATCTTACATACTCCCTAAACTTTAAAATTATAACCACTCTATGTACTTATCTGAAAAAAGGATTTCTTTCACCTGTGCTTCCCCAAGGGATCCCTTAAACAGCAGCCATACTGTGATCCAGGAAGAGTGGTGAATGAGTAACAGAAAGCCAGCTTTAGGGTAAGAGTTTACCACCAATCCAAGAGAAAGCTCTTCTGGCTAACAAATGGACCACTATGGGCATTTGTACACATGCCTGCACTGCAGTTGTATAAGTCACGAAATGTGTGTCTACACTGAGAAAATTTCATAGATTTCATAGACGTTAGGGCTGGAAGGGACCTTGAAGATCATCAAGTCCAGCCTCCTGCTCAGGGGCAAGAAGTCAGCTAGGGTCAAAGGATCCCAACAAGATAAGCATCCAAACACACGAAAATGGTGGTCGTGCACTTTTGAACTAAAACACCCCCAATGTGTTTTAGTTTAAAAGCGCGCTACCACAATTTTCTGCACACTGACACACATTTCAGATTCATTAATTGATGAATAGTCTGCTCTGACCCAACTGATCTCCGGCGTGTTGCAGGACAAAAAAGTATGTGTATAAATACCCAAAGGGCTGGACCTGAGGACACAAAAGAAACCATTGCTTCTGAGAAAAAGCAAAGTGTAACAGACTGTTTAATGCAAGGCAATGGTTCTTCCTAACACACACAATAGCGAGAGAATGGCTGATGTCCTGAAGAAAGAGGATTTAAATCTTAGATTATCTTTTACAATTAAAGATTATTTACAGTTCCAATGGAATTTGTTTTTACCTGTGTAAACGTTTCTTTCTTTTTTTTAAATGTTGTAAAGCTCGTGGTCTTGTATCTTAGCACTGAATCCTGCTCTTTAACTCTGTACATCACTAAAAATGATGATCCTCATTTATCCATTTTGAGTCTACCACCTGCCAATTTCAATAAATGTTCCTTCTTGTATTTAGGGGTATTGGTTGTAGCCACGCTGATCTAAACATAGGCAAAAAAGAACCTTGTCTGCATTTCATATCTACCTTCTCTAGACACCTAAATATCAGCAGTCCCCTAACCTAGGATATCTGTAAGAGTATAAGCACTAGAGCAGGGGTGGGCAAAATGTGGCCCGGGACCCAGATGCGGCCTGCCAGGCCATTCTATCCAGCCCGCGGGGCCTCTAAAAATGTAGAGAATTAATATTTATCTGCCCCTGGCTGCCTATCATGCAGCCCTCGATGGCTTGCCAAAACTCAGTAACCGCCCCTCCACCCAAAATAATTGCCCGCCCCTGCACTAGAGGAACAGTTGGAGTTTCATTTGAGTACACTGTTGTATTTGGGAGTTGGTTAGTATATCCTTTTTTATTGACAGAAGCAATTGATTATTTTAACTTAGTTTATGCTCAGGGTACTATTTACAATCATGCCATCCTTTCCATACCAGAGCAGGATTGCTCCCTACAAAACAATAAAAATTAAAAATTAACAGAATCACTTCACAAAATAATAGAGGCCAATAGTGCCATGCACTTATACAACAAGAGACCCTTCTGGCTGACAGAAGAGAAAAAAAAATCCTGTACGTAGCCAGAAAACGGTTTGCCTTTTATATGCAAAAACAGTTACTCCCTACCACCACAACACCTAATAGAAAAATGTTCATTGTTAATTTGGATTCAGACCTCCTTTATGAACCATTTTTTTTTTTTTTTTTACTAAGTCATCACCCTGAGCTGGTATTTCAACATTTCCTCACAACTCCCTAACCTCTTTTTCCTAGTCATAGGCTATATGAAGCAGTCTGACAGTTGCTCAACTTTCAACCTTAAAATAATCCAAGAAGAAAACACTGTTTATAATGTGAACAGGATTTTGGGATTTTCAAGCTTACCATCATTAACTTGCCTGGTCCCTCTACTGCAGATACCATGCTGCCCAACATTTATTCACAACATTCTGTTGAAATTAATACGCAGTGACAACATACCTAGAGCAATTACCAGCACAGCAGGTTCACCCTGCCTGAAGCCATCTGGAACAGTCAGCAGGCACATGTCAAGCACATCTAAGCTGCTTGCTCACCATCTTTATCAGTTTTCTGTATTAATAGGGCCTACAGCAGGTTGAATATTTTCAATACTGGCATTTCTGCTCCTTGAAAGAAATTTCAAAGTTATCTTGCTCATGATATTGTACATTTTTTTTTTTGGATAAGGGGAAAAAGGGAATATAAAGAACTTGAAACTTGGAAACATCTAACTATATTTTGCTCAATTTTTAAGGCTACTATATTTTTAAGACTTGTGACAGAAGTTAAATATCATCTCACATGCTTCATTTCTGCACTGAACCATGTCTGTACGTGTACCTATACTTCCTCAGAGTTGTAGCTCCAGGGGTCTTATGACCCAGTTGCCTGGAACTTTGAGATATTACTGGTAGGTCTGCAACAGTGCAAAGCAAAAGCACTACTTCTTCCTGGAAAAGCATCCTGCACCTCCACATTAGCGCTGCAGAATCTATAACCAGGGAGGTTACAAAGCCTTAGGAGACTAGTGTGTTAGTATCAGAAAGGAAAACCTACAGCAGTCACCACTAAGACCCTTGTAACTGATATCTGCAGGCCAGATGAGTTGCTGCAGAAGTAGAATCTAGGGGAGAGTGCACAAACCGGGACTCAGGAGAGCTTGGTTCAATTCCTGACTCTGTCACCGATTTCCGGGGTAATGCTGGGTAAGTCATGTTCCCTCTCTGCATCTCAGTTCCTGCATCTGAAGAAAAGGAAATAATGATAGCAACCTCTGTAAAGTGCACTGGCATCTACTGACAGAAAGAACTAGGTATTGTCACTACTGTAATGTTCATTTGACAAAAGAGAACATTTTAATAGCCATCACTGTCCTCGAGTCTGCTCAATGTAAAAAGCATTGAGCTCTCCCACAGTTACATTGTGACTTTTGGTCACAAAAAAGGTAGGCAGTTGTCTTTGCTAGAAGTCATGCCAATATGAGTAACATGCAGGAATCATTTTCACATTACTCATCACATTGCTACTGGCTAAATACAAGGTAAGCATAAATTATTAAGTGCCATCCCAACCCACTTCCTGGTTTCTCAGGTTGCTAAGTAGACATTTGTACAGGTAATATTATAGGTATCAATTTGAAAAAGGAAAGGCAGTATGGCCAAATGCTGGTTTGTCTACCACTTAAACCTGTATAAAATTCACATGCCTATTGCAGTGACACAATTCACCTTTTCAAAGTCCCGATCTGCTTAAATCTTTGGTCTTCACTTAGACTTTTGCATGTATTAGGAAGTATAAAAAGGTGATGACTGCAGTGGCTGTTTTCCAGAGTTTTACGGATATATAAGCAGAGGCCTTCTACAAAGTCTTCCACCTGAACTAGAGAGCATCAGACAGTAAAAGATGACAGCTTCATGGCTATTACAAAATACACAGTGCTAGTTTGTTTCCTGCCACACTTGGAGAACAGAGTACTTGTCATCTGTGGTTAGTCATACATCCAAAACATGAGCGAAACCATTTGTGAATTGCATCACTCATGGTTTTTAGCATAGAAATACTTAAATACTTCCCAGAAACTATATTATTTATTATTAGTCTGCTTCATACTTCAAAAGCTTCATGTCATTTAGGTAGAAGGCAAAAACAAATTCTCTCTCCCTTAATCTAATACATGGCTTCCATCTGCCTCCTCAGTACACATCCTTCTTAAACAGATCTCCTGAAAGACAATGTTATGAAGAAGCAGCATTCAGTTTGTATGCAGCATGTGTATTCATAACACTCCATTTTATATTACCTGGTAGGCACAACATTTTATATTACTTGCTAAGCACCAGCTTTGTGCCTACGAAAGACACTAGCCCCATTCTAAACTCAGCAGCAAGCTGTCAAAACGAAAATTAGGATTTACCTTCCAACAGGAAAATTCCTATTTCCAACTCATTAAAGGTCGGAAAAGAAATTCAGAGTAATTTGTTAATTTTCATCACATCAAAAAGTTAACAGGATGGTATTCCAAGGTTTCTTACTAGGACCATTTTTATTACTTAAAACATTTATCAATGATCCGGAAAATAGAATAAGCAGAGAGACGGTAAAGTTTGCTTAAGATGACTAACTAGAGTACAGACAGAGGTAAGATTACAGAGAATTTCAAGAGGGAAGTCAAGCCAGGGAAATAAACGGCATGATACCAGATAAAAGTCAAATGTTAGTAAACTAAGTTATGCAACTGAAAATAATTCTTTTCTCAAATACCTTTACTACAGACCACACACTTATCAGAATAAAGAAGATGTATGTATAAAGAAGATTTATTCAGGGTTCTAGACAATTTAAGACCTCTGCTCCCAGTTCAGCAACAGTGAGAAAAGCAAAAGAGGAGGATATATGCATTGTATCATTTAATTTATGGAACACGGAGGAATAGTTATATGCCGGAGGAATAGTTATATATAACAAAATCATCATCTGATGAACACAAATCAGTGACATATATTTATCCTGTAGCAAGATGCAAGAACTGGGAGGTATTGACCTGTTTTCACTGACACTGAAGAACTTAATTGAAAGCAAACAGTTTTTCACTAAACGCACTAGGGCAAGACACAATATAGTTAGAAGAGAAGCTTAGAAGGATTAAGAAAGATTTAGACATTCGTAAGGATAGAAACATCCAGCGCTTAGTAATAAATATTAGGACAACAGGCAAGAGCTTTGTAAGGGATATAAAAAACTCATAGTTCAGTATGAAAGCCAACCGTTAACTATTGGGGGAGTCAGTTACACGTATGCAAGGATTTTTGTGGGACCAGCTGCATTGATAGGATACAGTTAGCCAAGCTTTCAAATGCCAGACAGTCTTGACCGGTTAGAATTAGATTCTCCCTGTGGTGGCAATACTGGGCACTGATGTCAGGCAACTAGGGCTGACAGCGCTCAACAAAGGTACTGGATTAGATGGACCTGTGGCCTCAATCAGGGATATCAATTTGTAAGTAGTTTTAAAAGAGAAGGACTGAAGAAAGAAGCCTACTGAACATCCTCAGTCCTGCTGGTCTATTTACAGCTGAAGATTATATCACAGGTTGAATGCCCGTGACTCAAAGAGATGGCAGGTTCCTTCCTTCTAGCGCTAAGAAACTGGCAAAGCAGACCTGTTGCGTCCGACACCCTGCCTCCAGCAGCAGCAGCCAGGGAGAGATGCTTAGAAGGGGAGGTCACTGCCCCCGCCATAAATGAACCAGCTCTGCAACTGTACACTGGCGAGGTCAGCGGGGGTGGAGGATGTCTCTCGACCTCAGCCGTGATCCGTTTACACCCTCCAGCAGCAGGCTGAAGGACAGCCCCTGATGAGCTATGCGAGTTAAGCACAGGCTTATCAGGCATCTCAACCCGCTTGAGCCAGAGTGGTTTAAGAGAAACATTAAAAAAAACACAGACATTCTTTTCAATGCCCTGTGCTCGGGGGCAGCAACTGGAGCGCCAGCCTGCCGCAGCAGGAGACATTTGCTCCTCCCCGGGGGATAATCCTGGGCATGTGAGGCACCCCCTCTTTGGGAAGGCACTGCCCTAGCAGCTCATGCTGCGCTGAGCCCAGAGCCCCCCCACACCCAAACGTGTCCAGGAAAGGGCCCCTCTCCCCTCCCTGACAGCCCTGTCCAGCCATGCTTCCAGCTTGTGTACACACACACGCATGCTTTCTTACTCCTTACACACTCACACCTATACACACACTTGCTTACTCCATACACACTCCTACCTGCACATGCACACGTGCACTCACTCACTCCTTACAGCCTCACATCTAGACACACACACACTTGCTCAATCCTTACATACCTCACACCCACTCACACCCATACACACACACTTGCTCACTCCTGACAACCACATATCTAGACACACACAGGCTCACTCAATCCTTACACCCTCACACCTACACACACCCACGCACCTGCTCACTCCTTACACACCTCACACTCACTCACACCTATACAAACATGCTTGCTCACTCCATACACACACACACTCCTGACAACCTCATATCTAGACACACACAGGCTCACTCAATCCTCACACCTGCTCACTCCTCACACACCTCACGCCTATACACATATGCTTGCTCACTCCTTACCTCACATCTAGACACACACCAGCTTGCTCAATCCTTACACCTACACACCTGCTCACTCCTTTACACACCTCATGCCAGCTCGCAGCTATACACACAAGCTTGCTCACTCCTTATAACCTCCCATCTAGACCACACACACACAGGCTCGCTCGCTCCTTCCCCCCGCCCCGGGGTACCTGGGATGGCGAGGTGCGCCAGCGGGCGGGCTCGGAGCGGCGGCGGCAGGGCGCCCATCCAGTCCGCCT